ATACATATGTCGTTTTTATTGGAAATGATAAGCTACGAATCTAATTTTAAGGTTATAAAAAAATTCTTTTCTTTTTCGCGATATAAACGCCTTAAACTAAGCAGTTTATAAAATATTCGTGGTCGAATATCGAAACTTCTCGATATGTCGAAATAGATCTATCGACAGTCTATCTATCGATCTGCAAAAGTTTAAGCATAATTAATTAATTAGAAAAAAGAAAAAAAAAAAAAAAAGAACGAATATGTCGCGAAATCACGTTTTTAATCATGTTTTCATCCGATCACGGATATATGCGCACAAATGTACGTAAATGGCATCGTTAATTCGATGAATCAAATTTTTTCCTTCCAATCGACTCGATTCGTTTATCCACGGGCATTTTCGCGATCTATAATGATATTTGTGATACTAGATAATTTTTAATCTTATCGGTAACGAAACCAAACATCAATCGTAAGCTTTTCTTCCTTCGCTTTCTCGAGAAACAAATCACGAATGACCACACGATAGTAGATTTGATTAATTATCTTTACCATGTACTATCTCGATTACGATTAAATCGCGACTGATCGATATGCATACGATATGCTTCGTATGCGTGTAGCGAGAGATAGATAATGCATACGCGACCGATTCTGCGGAACGTGGCGATCAAATTCGCAATTATATTCGTTCGAAAATGTTGCGAACCTATAAGGTTTTCTATAGAACAAAGATGCGAAAAAAGCGAACATGTTCGTAAACGAAGAAGAAAATATCGAACGATCGAGGAGAGAGTAAAAAAAATAATTTGACGAAAAGTTAGACGGATGATGGGAAATCAAACGGAAAATAGAGGAACAAAAAAAAAAATCTTAGTTTATAACATAGAGGACTGCAGAGAGTATTTTTTCTAGGAATGTTAGTGGACCAGCCAAACAAAAAAGAAATACAAAAATAAATAAATAAATAAATAAATAAAAAAAAAAGAAGGAAAGAAGAATGAAGAAAACGATCGCAAAGGTACATATACGTACAAGGATATTTATTGAAGCGAATAGATTGAAAGCATAAATGTGTTTCATAAGGTATGATATATCTGAGAATTAAAATGTTTGATATCTACCCAAAATACAAAATACCAGCATAACTTGTATAAATGCATAACGGATACTCGATGTGACTGGACATTATGGTTTAAAGTTTGTAAAATATTAATATCGGATAAATATCGAATATTTTTTAAGAACGATACAACAATTAAATGATGGAAGAAAATGAAAAAGAGGGAGGAGAGGGAGGGGAAGAAACTGTGTATTGTATATTCTCTGCCGAGTTATTCGAATGGAAAAAAATAAAAATAGGAATTTAAAAATGAAAAACAATGATTGGAACAAACAAATATTCAACTATTAGAATTAGAGATATTTCTCGTTTCGTTTTCCCGTATCTACATCTACCTTTTATTTGCCGCATATGCCATACCTTGTAGGACACTCTGTACTCGATTACTATGCCAGTGTAGTGTCCTGGAAGGATGTCATACGTAGCAAACAATTTTCTTCTAAACTTTCTTTGATCACTTTTTCTATTGCACGATTATATATTTTCTGCGATAAATCGTATGCAATTTATTTTATTCTCTTCTTCGCCTATCTTGTGGATCTATTTCTCTTGTTTTTTTTTTCTTTTTTGGAGGAGAAGAGGGAAGGCTTCATGCGTAATAGATAAATTTGGCATGTGATCAATATAACATTATAAATAAAATGCAATAGAAAGAAATGATCATTGGATTAGAAGAATATTGTGAGTTATATGATAGTCTTCCAAAGTACCACACTTGCATAGCGCTCAACTCTCGCGCACTCGGCACGTCTATAACTGTAATATATAAATACTTGCTATTATATGCGTGCGTATGAGGGAGCGAGCGAATGAACGAACGAACGAACGAAAGAATGAAAAAAACGAACGAACGAATGAACGAACGAAAGAAGAACGAAAAGAAATCAATGACTAAAAAAAACTAATGAAGCACGAAAGGAATTTCAATCACCGTGATTGGATGGGGGGAGGGGAGATGGATCTTATTATTATCTTAGCGATCGATCAATCGATCGAAAAGCGATCATACACAACGCGAAACAATGTTTAATGTTTCAAATTCTCGATATATCTGTAAGTAGTTAGTAATGTGTCTTAAGTTTTCCTTCCGAAGCTAGTAAGAAAGCTAAAAAAAATAAAAAAATAAATAAAAAAAAAAAAAAAAAAATAAAAAAAATAAAAAGACATAAACACTTTTTTAAGAAATGTAAATAAGTATATGTATATCCTTCATGGATGTCGCAACGATATAACAGAAAGGATAGAGCGAAAGGAAAATACATATGTTTGTGGAAGGAAAAAGCGATGCGATAATTTAAAGAAAGAAAACGATAATATTATAAGCAACAAAAAGTGCTTTTATGAAATACAATATTATTTATACCATCCTGATGATATATAAATATATATATATATATCTATATCTATATATATATCTATATACACTATATCTATTCGAATTAAGTTTATAAGATATAAAAGATAAGATAAATTCACATACTGCGTAATAATAATACAAAGGTATAATAAATATCATATATGTATACATATATACACATATATACGTGTACATGTAATGCACTACGTGTAGGATATTATAAATAAATAAATAAATAAATAAATAAATATATATATATATATATATATATACACACATATATATACATACATAGATATGTATTTATTTATTTATTTGTATACGAACTATCATAAGTGCGCGCGCGTACTGCATGCACGCAACGGCACGCACGCACCCACGCCGCAAAAAACACCATTAAAAACTCGGATTACAACCAATATAATAATATTAATATTGTAATAATGCGTAGTATTATGTTATTAGTACTGTATTGAATAAATAAAGGTTGTCCTACATGTGAACATACCAAATATTTTTTCTTGAATCCTCTCTTCAAATGAACGATTTCGTAAAATACTAACTCTATTTTACATCATCGTAACATTTTATATTTTGATCATTGCAACATTATATTAAATAAATAGTCAAGTGTACATTCGATTTCACATATTGACATCCCATTATACATAGATTGATCATTTGCATAACATAACAATATTTCTTTTTATATAATAATTTTTTATTTTCCATTTTAATTATCACTACTTCAACATTTATTTATGATTTATGTCCCAATAATGTTCGCCATAATTACCATCCATATCGCCCCATGTAACCTATATACAAATTTAATTTCTTTTTTGTTTAAAAAAAAAAAAACATTGTCATAATGAATATGAATAATAACAATTAATAATCATTAGAATCAAATTATTTATCTTATACTTAAATTTATTTACTTTAAAAAACATCTTGCATATATCGGATTCATAAATATCTATTCTTCTAATTATTTCAAATTTAATATTTTTTATCATCTCACCTTTCCACGATGACGATTATTCGAAAGATCTTTTTCTTCGAATCTTTGTTCCCATTGAATTGGATTTTCGCAAACATAGCCAAATTGTAATTTATCATTTTTTTGATCTTCCATAAAAATATCTCTAAAACAAATTTAATTCAATTCGAACTTGTCGCGCAAAATTATATAATTGAGGATTGTTTTCGATTTGAATTTAATTGAAAATCAAAAATCGATCCTATTTCTTTCTTTTTCTTTGTATTTGTATTTTTCTTTGTATTATCTGAAGAAATAAAAATACGAAGAAAATCTATAAATGATCTATAAATGATTTTGAGATTTCGACTTAAAAAGAAATTATCTCGATTTTTCTATATGTTTTTATGATTTTGATTTTTAATTTTTAATTTTTTGAAAAAACCAAGTTTTTCAAAAATATCTAATTTTCACGCGTTATCGTGAAATCGAATTAATTTAAATACTTTAAAAAAAAATTTTTTTTTTTCGTAATTAATAAATAATATTAATTAATTAATCGCTTTTTTTTTTCTTCTTGTTACAATGAATTATTATCGAGATATTGAATATTTTAATGATACAATACTAACTGGAATAGTTGCTTCTTCACTGCAATTCCTCCATAGTAATTTTCATCGGTTGATTTTCTCCATAATTTTTCGACTACATCTGTAAATTTGCATTAGAATTTTCATATCGTGATAGTGAATATAATAATCGATCCTATCTAGTTCGTGAACAATAAAAAATTAATCGAAACTTACGTTTATTTATTTTTGTCGCTTTTAATATCATAATTAATAAGTTCACGAATTGATTAAAATTTCTTTTTTTCTTGTTAAAAAATCTCGTTAAAAATCATTCTATTATTATAATATTAACTGGAATAATTGTTTTTTTAAATTGGAAATCACGAAGAAAAATAATATTGAAAAATTATATTCGTAAAAAAAATATAGGATTATTTTATTTTTTCATATAACAATAAAAATATATTGTTATATGAATCATGCTATTGTTTCAGAAATCAAAATTTTCCGTTAGAATAATGATAAATCAATATATATATATATAATTATTATAATAATTATAAATCATAGCTATTATATCTAGTAGGATAAAATTTTTTCTAATTTTTTTTGTTTTTTCATTCCCCTTATTATAATCAAATATTATATTATTATATTATATTATATATATTAAAATTGAAAAAAAAAGGATAAAACAGATTACCTGAAGGAAGTTTATACTCCTTATTCGAAACACTTGTAATAACGAGAAAAATTATATGAAAATATAAATGAAAAAATTTAAACATATTAAAATTTATCAGAAATGATTATAAAGAGTAAAAGATAATGTATCATCGATCAAGTTTCAATTCAAACTAATCCATTCGAAAATCGTTCTTCTTTCACGCTCTCATTGTTTCGACATTATCGAATAATGTGAAAGTTAACAAATAGAATATATTGTTATTTTATAGTTGATAAATTACAAAATGAGAAGATATCTAAATATGTAAGTAAATAAGAATATATATATATATATAGTATACATATATATATAGTATATTTTAACTTTTTTTTTTATATCTATATATATTTTTTTTCAATGGCATTAATGTTCGATCTGATGTATTAATCGTTACATTATATATATATATATATACATATTTTTATTTTATTTATATGTTTTGATATATTTTATAAATATTTTTTTATTTTATTTTTTTATTTTATCATATTACAAATTTTTATATTACAAAGAAGTTAAATCAAAAGAATATCAGATCCTAAATCTCATAAATTTTTATACCAAGTATAGACAAAAAGAAAAAATGATTGGATGAAAAGGACAGAGATAGAATAAAAACATTGAAATCAAACATTGAAAGGATAGTAAATAGAATAGGATAGAAATAAAGTAAGAATAGATCGTCAATTCCATCTCTTCATATTTATTTATAAAAATATATATTATAATAATTATAAAAAAATATAATTATAAAATTCGTCAAACAAAAAAGATAGGATAAAATAGAATAAGTTAAAATTGAGAATTAGTACCAAAAATATGTAGTCTTCAAAAATATTGACGATCAATTTCTATTCTATTTCTATCTTTTTCTCATTACGTTTCATTATTTGCTTTATATGTTTCATTTGAGGCATTCTGATTTGAAGATGGCGCTAATTCCCGAATTTTTAATCTGTCTCTAAATTTTTTTCCCATTATTTTTTCTCCTAATCTATATATATTTTTTTAGAGCTTAATCCCAGACAAAAGATATGAGATTTTAATTAATATTTTTATCGTAATTTATTTTCACTTTCAAAACTATACTGTGTTTTTAATCTTTAATATAAAATATATACATTACATTGTCGGTTTAATAATATATTTCATATAGTGAATAAAATGCAAAATTTTTTTTATTTTTAAGAATAAAAATTTTTTACAAAAAAATTTTTACAATGTATATTTATATTCGAAATATATGTACATTGCAAATATATGTATGCAATATATATATATTCGAAATATATGTACATTGCATTTAGCACATGTATTTTAATATTTAATAATAATATTTAATAATAATACAATATATTTTAATAATAATAATATTTAATAATAGTAGTATTTTAGTATATAAATTTATTAAAAATTTCTATTTTTAATTTTTTTTTTTTTTTTATTTATCACAATGAAACATGGTAATTGAAGAAATTAATTTTTTTTTTAATATAATATTATGTAATTTAATATTATGTAATATTTGTATTATTATATAACATTAAATAGAAATATATTCTTTTTATCGCAAAATTATTAAAAATGTTTGAAATTTTTTTTTACAATTTATATCTAATTTTATATTAATTTTTTATAATATATCTATTGAAAATTAACATATTTTTTATTACAATATTTTTTTTTATTTTTTATTATTATTATTATTATTATTATTTGGAAGAAGGGAAATTTTTAAGTATATCTGTAATAGCATTGACACAAGTTACAACTGCAAATGCACCAGCATCAACGTTTTTTAAATATTTAGCTTGTTTTACATAGCTAGCACGGCCTACCCTGTAACACAAATTAAATAAAATGATTAATCTAAAAATAACATACAAAATATTGAAAACTATATATATGTTTAAGAATACATAATATTTCTTTTAATATTTAATAATATTTTTTTGATTAAATATATGTTGTTCAATATATGAAAATAATATATATAGTTTTTTATATATAATTTAAAAACCTTTTTTACATATATGACAATTTTTCTTTATTTTAAAATTAAAATAATTATTTTTTTTTTTCTACTGTTAGACTGAAGAACAGAACAAACAGAACAAAATTATCAAAGAAAAAATGTAGAAAAATTATGTATTTTTATGAACAAATATGAAATGATATAGAAAAAAAAAAAAAAAAAAAACGAAAAAATTATACTACGCTTACATAGGTTTCATATGTTTTGTAGCTTCACATGCTTGCCAAGTTGATGTACGTAACGCATCACAAATATCTCTTAATGGTTTGTCTACCATTTTATCAAGAGTATCGCAAAGAGCATTGAGTGGATCAATCTATAATAAAAAAGAATATTAATATCAATAATAAAATTATGATTTCTAATAATTATCATTTTATAATTTTCAATTAATATTAAAGTTAAATTACGATACAATTAGGAATTTTAATTAATAACTTGATATACAATTTTAATTAATAATAATGATAAATAAACTCTGTATTTTGATCAATATTTGTAATCATTTTCTTATCTATTAATATTATTGAAATAAATTATAATTTAATTTATATATGAATATTACCAATATTATAAGTGACATATAGAATTCAATTCTTTGAATGAATTTTATAAATTATAAATCAGTTGGTCGTTCAATGTAAAACAATAAAATTATAAAAATTTATCGCATAACAAAAATTTATAAACTATAATTTATTATAAATCAATATTTGATATAAATGATTATCCTAGATTATAATAATATAATATAATACCATAGATCTATCTCCTGGCATCGCTTTTCCATATTGCGTTAAACTATTTAAAGCGGTACGAAACGCACGAGCCCAAATTTCTGTCCATTTTTTGTTTATAGGTGAAATTAATTGTGTGCTAATAGTAGTAAAAAATAGACAATATAATGCTCCGGATGCACCACCCATTTCTTCTTCGGCTATATGCGCTAATTCAAGAAATGCCGACGCTGGATATGAAAATTGTAATTTATCTAAATTTGTCAAAGTTCCTAAAAAATAAATAAATAAATAAATACAAATATACAAACGAAATATATCGCTGAATTTCTTCGGATTAAACGAAAAAAATTATATATTTGATATTATCAATATCGAATATATAATGAAACAAAAATAATTTTTTTTTATTTATTTTTACAATACGGAAAATACGTACTAATGGCAAGTCTCTTAAGCGTTGATCCTGCATCACTGTCTCCGCATCCTCTATCTAAATCGTTCAGATGTTCTTCTTCTCTAATCGCATTCTCGCAAGCATTTTTTAAACAATTTTTTAATAAATTTTGTAAATCTGAAGAAATTTCTATACCAATTTGTTCTACTTTTCGTACTACTTCATGCTGAATGATCGGTTCTGATGGTTCTATAGGAACGCTAAACTTGCTACCTAGCCATCTTGGTGCATCAGTTGGTGCATCGAGACATTTAAGAAAAAGACTTTTATGCTTGTCAGGTAATTTTAGAAGCGTAACGTGTACTCCAGCGCTATTTAATGATGTCATCACCATTCCCCAATATAATCGAAGAGGATTTATATTCATATTGCCTGATTCGAACAAAAAACAAAAATTATATCGATCGATTAAATGAATCATATTTATACATATTAAATAAATAATTAGATTAAAAAGAAAATTGACAAGAAAAAAAAAAATTTTATATAATCTTGATATCAAATATACGTATGGATCTCAACTTTTTCAAATACCATTTTCATATACCATGATTATCATATAATAATATAGTTATCAGAAAAATTAATGAAATGATCAAATACAAATCGAATGCAATATTGACAATAATAATAAAGAATATGTTAATATAAAATTGTTTTGAAAATTTTATATTATACATGTTTTGCGAGTAACGACTTTCAAACAATTATATGATTATATTTTCTTATATAATTTGAATAATCTATTATAGATAATTGTATATTCGTTATCACGGTAATGATATGTATTATCTCGTCTCTATCTGTCACAATTATTTTTTCATTTTTTCTAAATAGTACTATAAGAAAACAATATACACAAAGATTTAATCTTTTTCTTACGGAGTACTTTGACCACATCGTGAGCAACTATCCCTTGTTCCAATTGACTTAATGCTCCAAAATTATTAATAATAACTGCAACTGAATCTCCACTTTTTAAAGATAATGCGTTGCTTATGCGATCTAACATCAATGAAGCTATGTCATACGATGGTTTTAATTTCGTTTTTTCATATCCAGCCTCTCCGTGGATTCCCATTCCAACTTCGATCTCATCTTCTGCAAGTTCGAACATTCGACGTTGACCTGTAACATGTAATATATAGTTTGCGTTAGTTTTACAATTTATTTATTTGCTTTTTAATTCCATTCGAAATATAGCGTAAAAAAAACATGAACGTCGATTTGATGTTTCATTTCCTTTCGATCTTTCTTTGATTTTTAGCATGATTGCGATCGTATCATCCTTGCCATCGTATCATTTATATTTTTTATCGCAATTCATTGAATTGTTGGTTGCAATTTAATTGAAGAGAGATCTTGATATATGATAAATGAAAGTGAAATATTCTCTTTTCTTCGATAAATTTTTTTCCCATATAAATTAAATTTGATTCAAATTATATCGATCAACATCTTTTTCGACTCAAAATAAATTGTTTTAACAATTTATGCGTATTATAATATATATAGACGTATTATATTCTAATAGGTGTTCCTTAATATTAAATTATATTGACCTGGTATTGCACATGCGCTCAATCCAACCGAAGTTGTAGCTAAATTATCCAAAACATCCTGTGCAGTTTTATAGACCGTTTCAAGTGGTAATCCTTCTTCCGCTAACGCACCAGCTATCTTAATCACAAATACAATTCCAGTTAAACCACGTTTACCAGCTCGACTTTGATCTTTTTCCGGTATACTGCAGTCTTCGTTTACATTTATATTTTCAACCTAAAATAAAAAAAGAACGGAACGAGTTCCATATATGAATGGAAAAATTTAAATTTTTGTAAAAGAAAAAGAAACTCATCATACACACGAACAATTTTAACGTAGTAAAGTAAAAAAAAAAAAACGTAGTAGTGTAAAAAAAAAAAAAAAAAAAAAAAAAAAAATATGTATGAATAATAAAGATTGCATTGCAATTAAACTAGAGACATACATATTTATATTTATATGTATATGCACACATATAGAC